GGGCTACCACTACGACTGGACCAACAGGTACCTGAGACCTCCTTGATGGCCTGATGTCGTGCCTGCATGTACACGCAGGAGTGATTCCATTGACGTGTTCGTGGCGGTCGCTGCCAGGAAATACCATGAGCACCACAGGGACGAATTCCCTGCAGACCTCGCACGCCTGTGCGAGCACTTTGCGGCCGCGGCCGGCATGCGCCTCGACTGTCAAGTACACGCCCCCACCATTTCAGCCTTAGCCACTCTTCCAAACCCCCTCCCCTCCTTTCTTGAATCCGCTCCCATCAGGCTGCCATCGTGAACTACTACGCTCCTGGTACGCCCCAATGCCCCCAGCATTGGAATTGAGAAACAGAATCAAACTTTAAAAAAAAACTCGCCTCCGCCAGAAACGGTGCTCTGTGGGCATCTGGACGATGTGGAGCTCACGTTCGAGGCGCCCATCGTCTCCATCAGCCTCGGTCTGTCCGCCATTTTCCTGTACGGCCTGGCCCTCCCTCTTTCCAGTCATAAACGCCCACCACCACACATTGATGCGTGCGCCTGGCCTGAACAACATGGTAGGTTGGGCGGACGAACACGGGAGGAGAAGCCGCGAGCGATGCTGCTACGCTCGGGGGACGTGGTGGTCATGGGCGGCGCGTCGCGGCTCCTCTACCACGGCGTGCCTCGCATCCTCCCCGCCACCCTCCCGCCAGAACTCGCGCACCACCGCCTCGCGGGCACGGAGCCACACCTGGCCCATGTGGTGGACTACCTGAGCAAGCGACGCATCAACATCAACGCGCGCCAGGTGCTGCCGACGGGCTGCGACTTCCCATCAACGGCAGCATCCCCAGAAAAAGGCGAGCTGGCGTGCTGAGGCTAAGGTGGTATCTGATAGACGATGATGATAAAAACACGTCAAGTTCAGAGAAGAGACTGGCCGGTCTTGGCATCGACGACGCGAGCGAAATACTTGGGATGCAGCACGCCCTCCACACCAGGAGAGAGGATGACGCCGTTGGCCGATTCCACGAACTCGACGCCCTCTGCGAAACAGTAAACAAGGCGCCTAAGTACGGGGGATGCGCAGGCACGTTGAGCGCAAGCACAAGCGCTTACCTTCGAGTGCCAGGGTGAGGTTGATGTAGATGAGCACCTGGCAAGTCTGGCGCATTCCTGATCGTCGGTCGACACAAGCATGCATGAGCAAATCAGAGGTATGCCGTGTGTGCTGTGTGAAAGTAAAAGGTACCGCTGATGACGTCGGCGGAGCCGTATTCGCCCTTGGCAAAGTGGATGTGCGTTCGGCCCATCTTGCTGAGACCCGTCCTCTTGATGTTGATCCACGACGCGTGGTATGTTCCATGTACCACCTGCGTCACCGCCGTACGCCCGTGAGACCTACGCGACCATGAAAAGGCTTTCGTGCACGATAGAAAGTGCTGGTGTGTACCGTGGGGTAGTGCGACGCGTCGGTGATCGTCTTGAAATCCAATTCCGTCAGCTGCCGTCGCACACGCACCACCGCACACGACGCAACAAGAAAACGTTAAGTTCAACTCTCGCGAGTAGAGGGTGTGTGTGCGTGCGTGTGTGGACGTACGCCGGGGATGGAGTGGCCCTGGTTGGCGCGGATGTAGAGGCCGTCCTGTCGCTCTTCGAGCGCATAGCGCTGCTTGTCGGAAGAGGCCACCAGACGCTTGATGT